CAAAGGACCACATCCAGGTACAATTTTTCAATTTTTACCCCTTTTTCAACTCCAGCGTGTCAGGCCAGGGCCGGTCTCTCAATTCGTAGGAAAGACGAATACGAGGTGGGCGTCCCCTTGGAACCTCGGGAGATCAAACACCTAACCCGACCAGCAGATAGATGGTAGATTGACACTCAAAGCAAGTGTGCTGCTGGACTCATCTTTATACCCCTGGGGGCCCGTATCCTCTTTCTTATCTTAAGAGGCCAAATTTTACTGGTCCGTTTTATGGTGCCAGTTCTTACAAGCAGGTTACAAGTTAGTTTAGACTTGTAAGAGAGGAAGATAGCTAAATTAGGACTGCCGGATGTTCTTGTTGGGCAGGAGATTCCTCCCCCTGCGGACAGTTGTGTGTTTGTATCATTATGGGTTAAGTCAAGGGCACGATGTACAGCCTCTTAGTTTGACCACCCTCTTATCTCTGCTTACTGTTGGTCATGGTCACTGAGCCAGCATATCTAAACCTCTTGCTTCAAGGTTTTCAAAGAATATGCTGTTTTCCTGCTCTTATGTACCCTGCATGGTTTCAAGCAGACAAAGATGGATGTAAAATGGGGGTTCATGTCTGGCTACAGCTCTGTAATGAAATACCTATAAAAGACTGGAACATGTTTTAGCTTGACCCTTTTAAATCACTCAGACTATAAAAGACGACAGGAGTTGCATTAGTACTTTGTCTGACACGTTTTGAATGCTCTCGAGGAATTTCAAAGCATCACTCAGAGGCAATTGAGGTAAGAGTGAGTTTTTGCAAGAACTGTCAAACTTTTGGATTTGGTTCAGATTTGCAGTTTGAGTTGTGACTTCACTATAGTTCTCCACAGTAATGTAAGGAATAGGATGCAACAAACATAACCGTCAGGCCCGGGCTTTGGGCAAGGCGAGCGAGGTGGTCACCTTGGGCCCTGCGCTGCCAGCCTAGGGCCAGCCTAGGGCCCCGCACACTCTTTGGTCGGACCTGATAACAGTGAGCTATCACTATAACCTGAGTCCGTGCCCACTGCTGTACTGTGACTCTCCACGTCTCTCCTTGGGTTCACGAGGCAGTTCAATTAGTTATTTCAGCCTTGAGTTGAGAGACTCAAGTGCTGCATAGTCCTGTCTTTTGTTTCAGCAAGACCAGACTAACACGGCTACATCTCTATTACTATTGAGTCGAGAGCTTTCGGTACAACCAAAGGTGAAGACAGCAGACAGCGCTCGCATTGACTTTGGAGGAGCCAGGCTTCCATCTCCTTAGCAGCTGTGGATCACCATGATGTAATATAGACATGGAGATGAATTATGTGAAGGACAATGATCATAGGACTGTGTTTGTCAGTGCAAGACTACAACCATTTTAATGCAGGGTCAGATTCTGACCCAGCCTTGCATAGCCATGCTAGAGATTAAGTGGTGTGAGAGGCTTCCTCCAAGTTTTCATACACCACCACCTCCCCCCTGCTCTTCTGTATGACATTAGTGTTCCCACCCAGTGGTGCCTGGTGCTCCCTGCAAGCAAGTGAGCTTGGAGAGATATAAAACCGCAGGGAAATACTTGGCTTTGCCTTTGCCAACATATGCACCAGCCAGCAGTGTTGAGCCAATGTGGGAAGGGAAGTAAGTCTAGCCACATCAGGACTGTAACAATGTGCTGCATCCAGGCTTCTCCAGGGTAGTCCAGGACTGCACAACCTCTTTGGCAGGAATCGAGGCTAAAGCTCAGCTTTGTAGTCCACATCTTGCTCCTATTGCCACCAACTCTGTGGCTGGACAGAGCACCGAAGAGAGCACGGAATTCATTCTTCCCCAATACATCTGATCTCTAGTACAGTATATAGGTATCCCAGGTTTCCTACCTCTTTTCTGGTTTAAACTGAAGCTCCACTAAAATCCCTGAATTAGGAGAATATTTTAGCTTGCGCTTATGTGCTTTTCTGAGCCAAGGCCTAACTGAGGAGTATTTTGGTCATGATTTCCCAAGAACTCAGTCCTAGCTGCCATGTACAGTTTTACTTCTATTGCACATTCCAATTTCTCAGGAAAATAAGACAAAAAACCTGTATGTAAAAGATTTCTATGTTGATCCTAACCTAATCTTCTGATCTGCTGCCCAGGGAAGCAGATTATAAATAGTCTAATCCTAGTCAATCATAAAGCGATTTGTGTCGAACTAATGAAGCTTACAAAATAAAGCCCCTTATCACAAACACAAAATGATTTATTCAAACTGCATTACAACCTTTTTAATCTCCAATAATTAAAACTGACTAAAGCAAGCAATTATTATTAATTTGAATAATCAGTTAAAATCTTCATGGCAGTTTTGTACAAACTAACTTGGTCCAATTTTTAACAGCTGAGAAGCAGGTTAGATAATAGGAATGCTGATTATTCTCATACTATTATATTGAAATATCTTTGTTCAAGTATTCTCATTTTCTGTGGGTGACTCAACAGAAACAATGAGAGTACAGCATGGTGAAGAAACTAATCTACCTGGGTATGTCTATACTACAGCACTAATTCGAACTAACTTAGTTCGAATTAGTTAATTCGAACTAAGCTAATTCGAATTAGTGCATCTAGACTTAAAAACTAGTTCAAATTAGCGTTTTGCTAATTCGAACTAGCATGTCCACACAGAGTGGACCCTGAACTGAGGTTAAGGATGGCCGGAAGCAGTGCCGGCAGGGCATCAGATTAGGACTTAGAGTGTGGAGCTGCTGTCTCAGGCTAGCCAAGGGCTGTGCTTAAAGGGACCCGACCCCCACCCCGGACAGACAGTTCTCAGGAGTGCCCCGCTTGCAAAGCAGTCCTGGCTTGGTGTGCCCTGAGTGCCCACACTCGGCACATCACAGCACTCGGCCATCAGCCCGGCTGCACTTGCCGCAGGCTGCCATCCAGAGGGGGGGTCAATCAAGGGGCTTCAGGAGAGTTTCCACCCCGAGGAGCCCGGAGAGCCATCCCAGTCCTCCCCATCGGGGCTCATACCCCATTCCTCCCTTACCTCCTTCCACTTACCCCTCCCTAGCCCCCCTTCCTGATGTTCAAAATAAAGGACACGTGTGTTCAAAAATAGAAACTCTCTTTATTGAACAAAACTCGGGGAGACTGGGAAAAGAAGGTGGGAGAGGGGAGGGCAACTAAAATGATCAGGGTTTGGAACAGGTCCCATATGAAGAGAGGCTAAAGAGACTGGGACTTCTCAGCTTAGAAAAGAGGAGACTGAAGGGGGATATGATAGAGGTCTATAAAAGCACGAGTGGTGTGGAGAGATAGAAACTCTCTTTATTGAACAAAACTCGGGGAGACTGGGAAAAGAAGGTGGGAGAGGGGAGGGCAACTAAAATGATCAGGGTTTGGAACAGGTCCCATATGAAGAGAGGCTAAAGAGACTGGGACTTCTCAGCTTAGAAAAGAGGAGACTGAAGGGGGATATGATAGAGGTCTATAAAAGCACGAGTGGTGTGGAGAGGGTGCATAAAGAAAAGTTCTTCATTAGTTCCCATAATAGAAGGACTAGAGGACACCAAATGAAATGAATGGGTAGCAGGCTTCAAACAAAAGGAAGTATTTCTTCATGCAGTGCATAGTCAACCTGTGGAATTCCTTGCCAGAGGATGTTGTGAAGACAAGGACTTTAACAGGGTTCAAAAAAGAACTAAATAAATTCATGGAGGTTAGGTCCATCAATACTTATTAGCCA